GAAAGAAAGAAAGAAAGAAAGAAAGAAAGAAAGAAAGAAAGAGAAAGAAAGAAAGAATGAAAGAAAGAAAGAAAGAAAGAAAGAAAGAGAGAAGAGAAAGAGAGAAAGAAAGAGAGAAAGAAAGAGAGAAAGAAAGAGAGAGAAAGAGAGAGAAAGAGAGAAAGAAAGAATACACTTAGCAGTCTCTGGTCCATAGCAATGAGATTATTCTACCATGGAGGAAATGAGAAGGTTCCATGTCTTGGCAGTGGTGTATTTTCCCATGTCCTCTATGAGTCCAAATTTTGCTCTTTGGGAATTCTTTCTAGTACATTATGCTTTAAGGCCACATCTGCAGTATGTCCTGGAAAGACTGTAATTTTAGTGGCCTCCTTCTTACAGGTATAGATTTGAGAATCTGAGGACGTTTCCAGGACAGGTGTTTGATTGCTTTGGAAATGTAAGTACCTTATAAATTTGATAGGCTTCTGATTCTGTTTGTTTCCATAATTGCCGCAAGTCAGCAACAACACTCAGATTTCTTTCTGGAGTGTAGTTTTTAAGCCAACTTTACTTCCTGGTTTCCATGTCTACCCATTTCTCTCTTCCTCTCTTAAATGTTGTCTCCTTTGAGGCCATTTGAATGGATGGGTAAAAGGAGGCAACATCATTAGTACAATCTCCCACTGTGCTGGATTGCTTGGCTTTCCTAACAGAGGCACTGGGGAAAGGCTATGAGCTGTAGCAATTGTACCCCCTGCTGTTGGGGCATAGAACCAAATTTCTAGACCTTCTCTATAGCCTTCAGCTTTATGCTTGCTAGTTCTTACCTGAACACATAATTTTTTTTACCATTCTCTACTAAAAACATTAAGGAACAACCAATACACGTCAACATTCTGGTTGCTCTCTGGGTAAATGGCCAGCCTTTCAAGTTACTACAGGAAATGGTTTTCTTAAATATTTTTGTGATGACATTACAAGGGTCTCCACCTTTGCAGCCTGTGATATGTTTCCTCAACTCTAATCTAACCACATATTTAAGGTTATTTTTAGAACCCCACTTCTAGGTTCAAATTCCTATATTTTTAAGGTCTTGCTAAGCTGTGTAACAAAGTGACCTCAAGTATAGCAACTTAAAGAATACAGACATTGCTAAAAGACAGTACATATAGTGGGTAAAAGCGCAGATTGGGGAGCACAGTTTTCTGGATTTGAGTCCCAGTTCAGTCACTTTCTAACCATGCAACTTGGACCATCTCTGAGTCTCAGTTTTCTCCTCTTAAAACTGAGATTAGAAGAGTAACCAGCACTTAAGGTTGGAAGATGATTAAAAGAGTTAGTATACATAAAATTTAGAACAGTGCTTGTACATGCCAGTGTTATATACATGCTTCCTAATTTAAAAAAAATTTATATTCTCTTTCACTTCAGAGATCTCAGATGACTATTCCTGAGACAGATCAGTGTGAAAATTCTGATCCTGTGGTACTGTGGCGGTCTAGTAGTTTTCATGTAGGAGCATGGATTTTGTAGATCATAATCATCTTTATGTTCAATTATCATATTGGATTCCATTATATTGGATTCTATCCCACGTAAAAGGGAAACTGAGTTTGAGTCTCAACCAGGAAATGGCACAAACCTTTTCTACTAACATTCTCTTAATAACAGCATAGTCATATGGCTATTCCCAATTGGAAGAGAAGCTGGGAAATTTGGTTTAACTAGGTAGTCTTGTGACCAGACAGGAAGGGCTTGGGTAGGTAGGGAGTGTCCTCTATCATAGTTCCTTAATCTGACTCATGAAGAGTTTGTAAATTATTTTCA